GCCATCACAGCATCCCAGGGGTCACGTGATTGTGATTCAGGCACTAATTGGCTCACAATTATGATGGTTGTAGCGTCCCACAGTCATGTGATCACCATTTGTGATCTTCCCTGCCAGCTTCTGACAAGCAAAGCTCACCTGGAAGGAGGTGGTAAATGGTGATAATGTGATGTTGCACCCAACAAGCACGCAAGATTTGCTTGATCACCATTTGTGTTCTTCCCTGCCAGCTTCTGACAAGCAAAGCTCACCTGGAAGGAGGTGGTAAATGGTGATAATGTGATGTTGCACCCAACAAGCACGCAAGATTTGCTTAACGCCGGCAGCTGGAACTGCCATAACTGCCATCATAAGTTGGTGCAGTTACATGAAGTCATGCTTTACGACCTCATCACTTAGTGATGGACTTGCCAGTCCCAATTACCATTGTTAAGTGAGGACTACTTGTTTTAGAGGGATAGATATGCATAACCTCCATCTGTTATGAGAAGTTACAAATGTAAACAGTTATGAACATTGTATTGTGAGTGTATGGATTTTTTTTTAAATAGTGCCCAATTAATTTTGTGCCTTCAAGTCAGTATTGATTCCTGGCAATTTCCTGGACAAACTCCTGCAATTTTCTTGGCAACATTTTCAGAAGTGGTTTGCCCTTGCTTTCTTCCTATCACCGAAAGAGACAACAACTTACGGTCTCTTGGTGCCTTTAATCACTATACCAAACTGGGTCTCCATATATTAATACTGTCCTATTAATACTTAGAGTAAAGCAGATGGATTTTTTTTAGTGATCTACATTTCCCCACTCGTGAGCTGGCAAGGAATTTAGGATCCATTGTATGTCCTTCACAGAAAGGATCAGTCTTAGGTGGAATTTGAGAATGCAATTCAGACAACTACTACAGGGTTGCTTTTCTCTGTGTACAAGATAGCTACCGTTTCACCACTGCTCTCATCCTATCTGATATATTGCTAATGCCATTCCCATGATCCAGCCAGTTGCTTGTACTATTTAAGACACTATCAAGAAGAAGATTCAGTGGTGAGTGCTAGAAAAACACTTAGAGTTATAGATTTTCATTGACCACATGGGAAGACTCATAGCTATAGTACCCTGAAATTCATTCATTCATTCATTCATTCATTCATTCATTCATTCATTCATTCATTCATTCATTCTACTTATATAGCCGAACATGTGCTTAGGGGAGGGTTCAGTCAAACATTTTCATGCTTGAAGATAGGAGGGGATAAGCCTAGTAGCCATGTTACATTGTAAGTTCTAGCTAGATCCGCAAGTTTAGCACTTTTCAGAAGGGTCCCTGTGTACATATCAAAAGGCGTCTCCATGTAGAAGGAGATCCTGAGTGACAAAGGAGATTTTTTCCAAAACCATTCTTCGTGGAGAAGTTGCCACACATGTATTATTTCATAGATGGGATTTGTGGCTGCATCTGGCAGAGAGCAGGACCAAGGTTATAGAATCTCTTTTTGCATTCACCTAATGTGCGAGGCCATCTCCCTCTTTGGAACTTTTAAAGGAAGGGTGATGTTTAATTTCTGGCTCCCTCTGCTTGTGCTTCTGATATAGGCTTCTCTGGTTACTCCTGGCAAGACAAAAATGTGGAAGTACTTGGCATTCATCATCTACTTTGGCCCTAAACCTGAGTGTTTGATCTAAATTTCTAGTGTAGATCAGCAGAAAGATATATTGCAGGAAAGGAATGGATTGAATGAAGCTACTGCATCTAGGGAAGTTTTATTAAGGAGATAGCGTTGGCTCATGACCTTATCTTACACTTGTTAGCTTGGAAGCCAGTGAAGGTGAGTGGAATTTTAATCATTAAATCACTGACACAGCAGAGCTTCTTAGAGATTTAATTATGCAGGCAATTTGCATCTACGCGTGAGTGAAATGTTTTAATCAGTTAGCCAAGCTACACAGTCATTCTTTCTAATTCTATATTCATGTTCAATATAATTTTGCCTTAATTTCAAATATTTTCTGCTGTTCAGCAGCCCATGTGCCATCATTCCTCCTGTTGCCATGGTTAAGACAGAACAGGCCTTCATAGAAGTTATATCCCCATACATCAAATGTTGGCTTGGAATATCTGAATGCTGGTGTCAAGGAGTTTGAAATATTTTGCCAGCTTTAGAATCAAAGACTATTTAAATAGTGTGGTTATTTGTAAAGAGCGATTTAAATTAAAAAGAAGTGTGAAACGCAAAGGAGCAAAGAGTGAAGAGTGTGAATGCTATGCCTGTGGAAATGTGCAGCATGTGAGGGACCTGATCTGAAGCAGAAGCAAAACTGGAGCAGATTTTTGGCACCAGTAACATAGCTTACAGTGACCAGGTAGGAGCACAGTCCATGACTTTGTTGACTTCCACTGTACCTGATAAATCCCATGTATGAAGCAGTTCCAGCTTTTGTCACAGTATCGTGGGCAGCCAGACCTGTGGCAAAAAATCTCCATGAGCTTCAGACATACCTCAAAGAGCTGACTTGTTTAGGAGCCAAGAGACAGAAGGAGGAAGGAATGTGATGGGACAGTCCACTCAGTAAACTTTTGTGCTGGCATTTTGACATACCAAAATGGAATGGTCTCACAGCATGGCTATTGTGTAGAAGGGGAACTTGTCCTTTCATACAATAGCTGCCGTGATGGATGCGGCCAATCAACAGAAGTCCATGTTCTGGAGGGAACACTAGTGCAGATGTTCTCAGCTCTCCCCTCCAAGGTCAAGTATGCTCCCCACCATTCCAACTTCCTGTTATCTTTTTATCTGAGCTGTGTCTCAGAAAGCCTGAGGTTGAAACCCCCACCCCATTTTTATTTTCTAAATTTGCTTATGGGACATAGCTGGGATCCTGGATTGTTATGGTGCAGGAAGCTTGACCTTTGCTAAGTAGCATGCTGGCTTCTATTTTTTTTTTTAAAACTACCAACAAACAAAGTAAATTGGGTGGGATAGTGAGCCTGTGGCTCTCAGAAAAACCTTCTGGGGGGCAGCAATTTATTTAGTCCTGCAACAAGTCTTTCTGTGTAGATTGGATATTTAAAGATGGCCCTGAATCCAAGTAAATTATTCTGAAACTCAGGGGCATCGGGATGGGGGTGGGGACTCAAAAAAATCAAGATGGTGGTTGTGCAGTCAAAACCCCACCATGCAGCCATGGTGACCATCTTGCTTTTAGCCCCACCCCACCCCCAGGAATGCCCCAGGCTAAGCTTAATGATGATTCAGTAGCCTCCCACTGTCAAGATGGGATATTAGAGGATATCATATTATCACTATTATATGTACAGTTACTTATCTGGTTGGATTGCCAACTTCAACTGTACTTTCAGTGATAGTAGCTTTGAGTTTCATCCTTTGGTGCAGAAATCTTGATGACCTCTAGATGGGAGCAAACAGAAACTTTTTTTTAAATTTAATTTAATTTTATGTTATTATTACATTTGTATGCTGCCCATCTCCCCCCAG